GTGAGGAAACTGTGCTCTCTGCTCTCTGTGCTGCATCATGGTCTGACAACTGTCTTCCAGCTCCCCCTGGTAGGACATTTATTACACAAGCTGCCCATGTGTCCAGCCAGTGACCACAGAAAATTAAACACTGGGAAATTCTCAAAGCTGTTTGCTGCAGATGCAAATCCTCCTGCTTTTCTGAAAGCGAGTAAATATTTTAAGGCACATATCCATAAAGAAAAATGTCGTAGAGTGAAAACTAAGTGATTTTGACTTAACCGTAGTTTAGGAAATCTGTCTGGGGTTATATTAGGGTGCATTTAAAGTGGAGCAGATGTTGCATTGGAGAAATAATTTTTGCAGTCCAGTTGATCCAATCTTTCTCCTCCTTTTCTGCCTGCTGCTTCTCAGCCCTCACTCCTGCTCCCTGATTCTGCTCTTCCAGACAACCAGCGTCACCAGGACAGGGATGAGACAGACAGGCACGATGATCAGGGTGAGGACCACGGCCTCGGGGGGGTCTGTGAACACCTCCTCCTCCTCCTCAGTGCAGTTTTGGAAATACTGGGAGTGGATCTGCAGGAAGAAGTCCTGCACTTTGGGATTGGGATAGTAGCAGCTTAGCATTTCTGTCACATGCTGCATGCAGATGGTGAGAGTGTTGTATGACCTAGAAAAAAAAGAATGTTTTTTACATTCATACAGTATATCATACTAGAGGTGCTTTCTGTACCTATGTGGTTACTTAATGAGATGCCTTGTGTTGAATCAATTCAGCCTTCACTGAATGACACTGATGTAAGAATTTAAGAATTAGAGGGACTGTTTCAAGCAGTATGAACGATCCTGTTTAAAAAGGCAGGATCAATTTTAACCCTTGGATAGCAATGAAGCTGTCTAAACAAGAAACAGTATTCATATTTCTTAAGCTGGTTTAACTGAATTTCACCATCTTGACTTTTTTAAGTTAAATAAACTGCTGTGTTAGATTGCTTCTTGGCTTTGCAACAAACAGTAGTTCCTCTGACGTGCTGGGCACATAGAGGGGCCAGGAATCTCTGTGTATTTCGATAGCCTGTATGTCCACGTACTGTATCTGTAGTTGTGAAAGGGCACTCAAACCTGATGACTTTATTCCAGTCGCACAAGCTGTCCTTCTGCATGAGTGACATGTCTCCATGGAAGGGAAGCCAGCAGTACATGCTGAATTCTTCCAGCAGGGTCTCATTGCAGTGCAAACTGAAGGACTGCTCCCGATGTGCATTAGCCTCTGAGAATACAATACATACTGTATATTATATGGAACAAGCAATAGGTTTATTCCCTGCTGAAAAGAGAAGAAAGAAAACACAACGTTTCAGCTGTGGAGCCTTCTTCGCGTGTGTGGGTTTACACACCCACTTATACCCAAAGAAGGCTCCACAGCCGAAACGTTGTGTTTTCTTTCTTCTCTTTTCAGCAGGGAATAAACCTTTACATGTTCCTTTGCAGCCTACGCATGCTGATGCAGCTCCCCACCTGAACTACTGTATATTCTATGGCTATTTTGTTTTCCTTCATTTACTTAGAAGACTGAGTTGATAAAAACTTGGATAACATGCAGCTTTGGACTGTGTTGTAGCTGCAGCTTTTTCATTGATACTAAAAAAATGTTGGATTATTTAGTTCACAGCAGACAACTCCTTAAAAGTCCCTGTTGGAGCTTTTTTTTGAAGGAACAGGGTTCACAATAGGGCAATAAAAGCTGCATAATTGACGTCAAATAACCAAATTACAAGGGGAAAGTACATTGCACCTGACTAATAAGAGGGTAAAATGTAAATTCAACAGCTTTATTGTATATTCACCACATAAAGAAGGTGCCAATCAATGAGCTCATTGAGTTACAATAGTTAATGTTGTGTATTTAAGCAATTCAAAAAAAGTAATAAAACAGCACTTCTAAGACACGATGACTCTCTTGGCTGTCCTGCTAAGCAGACAAAAAACAGCACTGAAATGTGGATTTAGTGCCATGGACCATATTCAAGTTTGAGGTCAATACTAATTCAAACATAGTGTACAAGAAGTATGAAATGCAGAACATTTCTGGATACATATGGTATTTAATCTGATATATTCATTATAATGAACAAATATAATGTTATACAATATAAAAACATATATAATGAACATATATATATATAATGAATATACTTGTATTATAAATGAATATGAATATACTGTACTTGAATATAAATTGTATTTCCAAGATAAACGGGTATTTTACTGATCATCTTATCAATAGAAAGAATTTACAAAATCTCTGCCATCATTGTTATCACAAAAAATGGTTTGTGTCGAGCTGTGGTAGGATTTGAGAATCTAACGAGAAAAATCTAACCTGACTTTCAAAAAGCTTCATACTTTTGTTGATAAGGATATAAAAATAGTGTCCAACAGTATAAATATTATGTAATACATAATAGCATTGTTCCAGTTAATTATTTGTAGTGATATCCCACACCTGGGTTAGTAAAAAAATGAAGGATAAATTCAGTAATGAATGTATTGGAGGAGTCAATGTCCAGTAATGGCACACTATTAACCTACTCACACCTGTTCCAAGCTGATGATTTTCTACAGATAACCGTAGTTATTTCTAAGATGTAGAAAGAACATCTTGATTTAACAAATCGGTAATAATATTCTCAAAGTGCAATCTGGAATAAAATCTTCTAAGCTTTAATAACGATTAGCATGTATTAGCCAGATCTGTTCCTTAAAATCAGATTTTCAGATTTTCTTCAATCCATGTCAGTGTCTGCAAATGTTTAATAAATACACTGAACTAGGAATAAGTGTAGACTTAAAAAGAGCTTAAATAAGTTGTAGATTTCAAGTTACAATTTATAGATATTTTGAAATCTTAGGCTATTTAGGATCTGGAAAATTGTGTAAGAGGAACAGCTGAACAAATGAATTAAATTGAGTTTTTTAATTTATATTCTAAATTGTTGAAATAATGGGAAACTCATCCGGGAAAAACCATTGTGTTCCCACAGAGTCAGGGATCACAGTGAATTCCAAAGAATACCTGATTCCACCATGCCTTCTCTCATCCTGTGCTCAGCTGTCTTTGAGATGTAATGAAGAGTGTCAGGTTATGCCCAATGGTAATAAAGAAAGATCGGAGAACACAGTCAAGGTACCTAAATACAACAGCAAACTAGCACGCGTCTTCTCAAACTTTCTTCTCAAACTAGCACGCATCTTTTAAAAATGTGTTTTCACAATGATACCTTATTGCCAGGTTACAGTGAACAGCCTGTACATATCAAATGGTCTAATACATATATTTCGATAAAACCTTTAAAAATACATACCAAAGAACGCCAGTGGGAAGATGAGAAAATTAAGCAGTTTGTTCATTTTGCGAGCAGAGGTATAATTGGCTTTCCTGAGACACAGAATAAGTGAAGCTGGGCTACATACGTCTGCATTAAGAAGTGTTCCCTTAGGATCCTTTAAAGAAATACAGGACAATGGCTGCAGAAAAGAACCCTCCCCTGACTTCAGATCCTGTCTGGAGATGTTGGCCTTGAGATCTGACAAGGATTCCTGTTTATTTATTTACTAGCTCAGTGCTGATTTGATCATTCACGGATGTTGATAATGTTAAATACCAGTTTTATCTGCTACATTTTAATGGATTTTGTTAGGCTTTCATGTTGGATTGTATTTTGTCCCTTGTAAGTGTCCTTGTATATATTCTGGAAGATAGTTTTGGTCCTGGTGTTTTTTGCATTTTATTTTCTGGTTGTATTATACTGATGATTATATTGAAAGAAGGATCATTTACAGCTTTGAGTAATTTGAAGAAAGATTTGGACACGTGTACTTAATTACAGGTGCTAAAACTTATGATAGTGCTCCATTTAGCATTAAAGATGAAGAGGTCAAAATTATTCAGTTTGTTGAAATCATTATTTTAATTTCTGACTGATCACACAATATTAGTGTCAAAAGGCACCCTTGGTTCCTTCTTGGACCATTCTGAAAAAAGAAAGAGCAGATAAAATACTGTACGTACAGTACACCTTTAATTCATTCCTAAAATACAGATATCACACGCCCAGGTTTTGCCTTCAAGAAAGAAAAAGACGGAATTGAAATTTCTAAGGAAAATAGGAAGAAACTGCTTGGATATTGGATCTTGCTGGGGTGAAATGGAATATATCCTGTGCTCCAATTTGCAAGGGTAATATTACAGATTCCAGTGCCTTGCAGAAGAAGATAGATGTGTGAAGAGTAGATTATGAGAGATAACGCAGGCTTTGGAGGTGACATGGTTCCACTGGATCTGGAGGATGATGCTGTTGTCTTTTAAACCATTCTGCATTAAACTGGACAGCGCTGCAATTTAGACATTGCACTTGACACATCACATACTTAATTATTTATTATCTCGAGGGCTTTGGCTTACTGTCCTTATAGTGTGGCTGGCCTTTCCTGCTGTCTGCAGCTCTGTTGCATGGGTGCTAAAGGACTAGATGCCGTGGAGTGTAGGGTTGGCTGAAAACAGGTGTCTGGAAAAGCAGGAATACTGAACATCATGGCAGATGAAATGTAGCAAAAATTATGAGCTAAGCCCAAACCCACTCGTAACAAAACACAAAACATATACAATGCCAAACAATCCATCCTTAACCTCTGTTAAATGAACAAAAATAAAAATCCCATCTCTAGTATTTTCTGACCAAAGCATAGTTTGTTAGTTTAAATTTCAGGCTTATTTTTAAAGCAGCTCAAGAAGCAGCTTAATTTAAACTGTCTTTAGAGCCGTGAAATAGGGGGTGGAACAACTGTTTTTTTTATTTAGAAGAAAGACAAATCAAATCATTTGTGTGCTTGAAAAAAAAATGGTGAAAAGATTTTTTTTTTTTGCCCTGGGACACCCATTTCAACAAGACCTTTCTTTTCAACCACAGCTAATTGCTTTTGGCTATTTATTCTAGATAGGAAAGAGGAAGAAAATCAATATCAAAGCATGCTGATTAGCTTCCTATCCAGGCGCCAGTGACTTAGTAGCCAAGATGTAAACCTCTTTGATTGGTTATGTCCCTTCCAAGAGGCCGTGGCTCATGTTGGGAAAGGAAACAGCCTGTCTGTGCCAAGTTCCTATTTCAGACCTCTCTCTTTCGCGCCAGACTTCCAGCCATCCCAGTCACTGATGATCATGACGAGCTGGAGGAAGGTGAGAATGTTCAGCACAGCGGGAAAAAAACACAGGCAATCATGAAGAGAACATGCAAACTCCACACAGAAGGTTCCCCACGATTTTTAGAATATGTTTCTGCCTTTCTTAAACTTTGCTTCTTCTAGACTTTGTATACGCCCATAATACCGAAATGATCTTTGTTACTCGGGTGTTAAACAAGTGTCTTTGTGTTGCCATTAAAAAATGAAACAATTGAGTTTTCTAAATGAAAGCTTTTCAGCCAAATGATGCGAACTGTAAACTGCCCTAGCAGGAAGAAGCTTTTGGTCAACATTCACTTTACCTTTGACCTCAACAAATAAAAATAAGATGTGCTCTATTCCATAACAAAGGTCAGCTTTTCTTTTCTCTTCCTTCTGTTGTGTGGCAAGAATATGCACATAACGGGTGCAGTGTTAAGGCAGGTTAATTTGGTTTCCAAAGTGCTTTTTAATCAGCCAGCTCTCAGTTTTCTCCCTCATTGATGTATGCATTGTGGTGGTGTAGGGCTACGCCAAGCAGCTTCTCGGATACAGTCGTTGCATAATGCAAGTATAACAACACTGTTTTGTTTTTGTCCTGAACAGGCTAAGTGATTTGGTTTCACAAATTGATTCCACATTTCCATACAAAGGATGGCTTTTGTTAAAAGTTCAAAAACTAGGCTAACGAAATACTATATATTTATATGGGAACTAGAATGCACTGCTGTTGATGATTTTGTACAGCCTTGAAAAGCCTCCAGAACACTGAGCACTGTACAGTACACTGCCGCTATTGGAAACAAAATATCATTCAGACCACCGTCCATTAAAGACAGCACTGTTGCTGTAGTGACGCTTAGTAATGCTGTATTTGATGTTTTGCTGTCAGCATGACACCTTCAAAAAGGCTACATAAAGACACTATAATAACATCTGTAATCCTTTATAACCATTTTTCCAAAGAGATACTTTACATACTGTAAATATCCATACTGACCTCAGCCCTGACACATGATATTTGCTGTGTGGTGTGTATGGTATGATATATTATTATGAATGCCTATCTACCTTTCGTGAAGGTGTCTTAAAGGATTGTGAAGATCTTCACAGCGTCATGCACAGCCACTGTTAAGGTGTGACATTGGCTACACCAGAAGTCTTACAAACACGTGTAGCAGGGAGCTGCTGCTAAAAGTGACTTCCATCCTGTTCTGTCTTGGGGAAAACAACCTGGCTGCTTTTAGTCCTGAGATTCTTACTATACTGTACTTATGCTTATCAGTATTGATTGTGTGTGGGAAGTTGGAGAAGAGATATACTGTATGGCTCTTGACCGCAGACTCGTGGGGTGTGAGACAAACAATGGGTGTCACGCTGCTGTACCCTTTAGTATGGTAATCTCCTTACAAATACTGTACAGAATTCAAATTCATATCCTATGGAATAACTAGGTCTGCAGGATATCATTATAATTGGCAAAAGGCTCCTAATTGACCTGGCTAAATAAACAATTAAATACATTTATTGTTCTTTAGAATGTTTTTGCTACAGCTCCAAAAAGGTATTTGCAGTCCTGGTGTGTAGGATAGTCTTTCTCTATGTATTCATTTTATCACTGCTTTGAACAAAGTTTTAAAACCTTTAAAACCTTATCCTGCACTCCAACAGCTGTGAGAAGGAAACACTTTCACAGAGTGATAATATGTTTGCACAGCTTGGAAAGAACATTGCAGGATATCCTGTTTGAATGAACTTATCTTGCATTTAAATATCCCAGCTATTTAAAACAAGATCACTTAACAAATGATAGGAAAATGTCAATAATTTGCTAACTAGACAAAATAGTGCAGTAAGTCTAATGATTGTGTGAAACATTGTAAATTATTGCTTTCCAATTAATTTGAAAAATATATGCAAAATCTGGATTTCCTGCCCGTGGTTCCAACATATTTTCGCTCAGGCAGGACACAATTTGGATGACTAAAGTAGATGCTGGAAAAGTTTCACTGGGAGAAAGCGTTTAGCACAACACTCCAGTGAAGCAGTATGGAACTCACAGCCCAGAAAACAACCAACAAAAAAAGTTGGGGGAAAAACACATCTGGTCCACATTTTAACCAGTGCCGGGTCAAAGGTCACACCAGTGATGGGTGGCTTGTCCAAATCTGAAGGGCACAATGGTTTTTTCTGTCTGTTTCAAGATCAAAAACAAAATATGGTATCAGTCTCAACCTGACGGGCTGAACCTGCTTCTTCGAACTAAATTCAGATGTATGTAAAGCAATGAATACACTAAAAAAATGAATTCCACTTTATAAGACACAAGGCTCAGAGGAAAATATACTGTTGATTTCTTATAGTGACCACTCAGATCAGTCTAGGTTAGATGTGTTAGCAGCCGGTGTTTATTAGTCATAAAAACTGGGACAGCTCTGAAACCTACAGTAGGTAAGAACTGCCACAAGCTGGCAGCAGGATTGTGCTGACTCAGGAGATCATGGGTCACTCAACTTGCCATGTGTGTTATGTGCAATTTCAGAGCCTATAATTAACAAATGTTTCTGTAGGATCACACCAGGACTGCATTGGCGTTGCAGGGGAAAGCCGTTGTGGGTTCTGAAGGGCAACAGCTTGTTTATCAAATCTTCTTGACATCTATTATTACATAGTCACAGATATTGGGTAATGTAGGGCTTACGATAGCAAGCACCTGGGTTTTCCAAAAGGCTTTGGCAAGGCACCCTCGGAGTGACTTCTCATGAAAATGAAATCTGTGGGGATGATACTCTGATTTTATTTTCTACCTGCTCAGTCAGGAATGTTGTTTTTCAGGACTCTGCAGCAACACTCTCGCCCACTCGGGAGAGCCGGACACGTGTGGAGGCGATCCTCTGCGGAGCCGTCCAGCCCCTGACCGGCGTGGGCTCCACAGGTGAGGCAGCACGGACTGGAGGAGCTGCTGCTCCGTCTTCTAAGCCTGCAGGCTCCCAGTAAGTCATGGCGGTTTTTCCACCCACCCACCCCAGGGTCACGGGGGAGCTGGAGCCTATCCCAGCAAGCAAAGGGCGCAAGGCATTGTACCCCCTGGACAGGACAGCCCATGGGGTATAACCAGTACTGTTAAACCAGAGCTAACACCCTCAGTTGTAGTCGCGAAAGGACAGGTTTGATTATTTTTTCCAATCCAGTATTTTTGTTACATGTTGCTTCTTTAAAACATTTAAAAAAACAACTGCTGACTTTCACATTCTTCCTTCCCTGAATTCACTGACTTCAGTGCGTTTCTGAAATTCAAGAGCGAATGAGCTTTATATGAGTGACTGCATTAGAATAACTAAGACTAAAACTCTGTCTGGCATTCGAGAACATCAATTAAAGTACTGATATCATGTTTTAGCAATGCGATAGTTTTAGATAGTCCAGCAGAGGACTCTTAAATAATTGGTGCAACATTTAGGCAATTGGTAGAAATTATTAATTATTAGATTTTTGGATTTCATGTTAAATATTTTTGAATAGTTTCAACAGCTGTTTCAAAACCGTCTTTTACCATCCTGAAGCTCTCTAGGCCTCCTGTTCCCTTGAGTGGCTCTTTACTGCCACCTTGTGTTTGGAGGGGGTAATATCTGCCTTGTGCCTTGATACCAGAGACTCCAGATTGGATACAGACTTAAAATGTTCAGGTCTGAACTAATGCACAGAGCCTAAGCACTTTACAGAGTGATGAAGCCAGTTCAGAGATGAGGCCAGGCCAGAGATTGGTAAAGGCCAGGAGGAAATTTGGCCAGGACACCAGGGTAACACCTCTGCTCTTTTCAAGAAACACCCTGAGATTTTTAATGACCACAGAGAGTCAGGTTTTACATATCATCCAAAGGACAGCCTTTTTTAAAGTATAGTTTCCCCATCACTATACTGGACCATTAGGACCCACACAGACCACAGGGTGAGTGCCCCCTACTGGTCTCACTAACACCTCTTCCAGCAGCAACCTTAGTTTTTCCCAGGAGGTTTTCCATCCAGGTACTGGCCAGGCTCACACCTGCTGAGCTCCAGTGGGCTGCCAGCTGTGAGCTGCAGGGTGATATAACTGCTGGCAATGCCCAGTGAAGCCTTTTGCTCTCTGTGCAGAGGTCAGTGGTTCCAACATACTGCACTTCTAGATGCACAAAACGAGATGCACTTGTCTGGGTTGCACAGATGCACAGTTCTGTTGGTCAGTTGTTTATGTAGTGTTGGTGTACTTAATCCAGTTTCAGATAACTATTATTATAGAGAATGTGTCTTTGGGCAAGTAATTCACCAACCAAAACAGTACCCACCTCCTGTACTCAAACGCTCCTGGTCCAAGTGCTACACTAGGATCTTGGTGAGGTGACGTTACATGTGGCCTGTCATTCTCAGACTGGATAGAGTGTCTTGACAGGTTAGAAACTGCTTTCTAAGATTGTCTCAGACGCAACAGAGCACTCACCGAGCCCAGCTTCCAGAACACTGATGGTACGAAAGTCTGCTCTCTTGATAAGAGGGGTATAAGGGTCCCTCTCTTTGCTTTTTGTTAATTTTCACAGATGACACTATAGTGTAAAAATGTCTCTTTCCTTCAGCTGAGATGTAAAATCGAGTTCCTGTTTCTCTGTGGTTGTTAGACATACTGGGGCAGTTCTTGAAAAGAGTAGGGGTGTTACCCCAGTGTCCTGGCCAAATTTCCCCCTGGCCTTTACCCATCAGGTCTACTACTAACCCCAATCTCTGAACTGGCTCCATCACTCTGCTCTCCTCCCCACTGAGAGCTGGTGTGTGGAGAGCGTACTGGCACATCATCCAGGTTGGGCTGCACACTGGTGGTGGAGGGGAGTCCCCATTACCTGTAAAGCACTTTCAGTGGAGTGTCCATAATGGTGCTATAGAAGTGTAAGGATGATTTATGTATTATTAATGAGCTGATACACTCTTGACTTGGACTGTTGCACAAGCAATGTATCACGGTTGGTCATTTTTAGTCAGAATGACATTATAACATTCAATCCATAACCAAAATAATATATTTGTATATAAAAAAAATGCATAGTGATATTTTTCTTATCTACCCGGTGTACATTCTGTATTTGAAGCAAAATGTGTCTTCTTGTATGAAATGTGCCACGGGGATCTTTCAAAGTCCGACTTATTCAAGTTCGAGATGGGTCTTTTTTTCCTTCTTGCAGGCAGCCAGCAAATAAGCTCTTCAGGAACTCCAAACGAGCATGCCTTTGTCATTTTCTCCCTTTAAGTTATTTTTTTTTTTAAATGCGTAAATACAATAGCCCTTTCTCGATTCCCCCGAGGATCAGTGCGGGTAGGGAATGCATCTGGGACTATAGATGCCGGACACACCCGCCCACAACACGCATTTGCTCGCTCGCCTCATCTCCGGCCGCTGGGTGCAGCGTTTTCAATGCTCCGCCGGCGGCGAGCCCGGCCCTCCTCCTCCTCCTCCTCCTCCTCCGCTGCGCTTCCCGGCTCGGCCCTGCTGCACAGTGCGCCGGCGGGCCTCGCCGTGCTCGCGTCTCCAGAGTCATGTGAGCCGGGGGGCGCAAGCAGGCAGGCTGGGAGGGCGACACCTCGCTGTTCCACTCCGGCGCAGGAAAAGAGCAGGCGGCCCGTGCTGGGCTGGGCTGTCCCCGCAGGCCCGGGTGGCACAGCGCTCGGTGACACAGTGCAAGGACTATCGCTTGTGCCCACCCCCTCCACTCCACTTGCACTGTATAGGCAGGGAGGTGACAGCTTCTTAACGGCAGGAAAATGTCATTCTCACACGGCCAGAAATCAGATTACTACTTAGACGTGATTGGGAACGCCGTGTCTTCAATTTCTGTTAGCACATGTGCGGTAATTACAACGGGAAAAAAAACCCAACAAGGTTAGTTCTGTGCTTTTTTTAAAAAAAAAATCGGCTGTCGTCCTATTCCAGGAACAGGCAGCGTTTTCTTTTTTCTGTAATAGCATTTACAATTTCCCGTTAACCTACTGCAGACTATGAGTCATGTAACTTGTGGACGGAAATCGTGGAAAAGGGCATATTCACAAACACGCTGGTGCGTAACGACAGGCCACCTGGGGTGCTTTAACGTCATGACCATTTAAAAGAAACACATGCATAGAACCTGGGATTTTTCGGGTGTCTTGTCGTGCTACCTGCTCCGAGTGCTCCGAAGTAATAGTTGCTCAGTTTACAAATTTATATCTCGGGTCATTTATTAATTTACCAAAAACAGCAGATTGCTTTCAGTATTGCAGAATATATATTTGTATCCCCCCCCCCGATATCGTGCTCACCCATATAATTTAACCCCGATGGAAAGTTTGACGTATAAATATTAATTTGGGGGTAACATAACACGGCACCGTTATAAAACTGCAGTCTAGGATGACAGCGACCGCATGCATTGCGAAAATAAACTAAAGAAATGTGCAGCGGTTTCCAGTTATTTGGAAACCGGGCTCAACGCAACGCCCCTCCTCTGGTCCAGCGAAACAGGTCGCTATAGTGTAAGATAATAATAAAGACGTCATTCGCTGCTCCTGCCGGGCTAAGTGCGCAGCTTCTAACTGTAGTACAACAACAATCTCAGCATGGTAGCGGACAACACTGCAATCCGCACATTAACGCATCTGCACAGCTGACTCGAAATCGGCATCGGGCTCGTAACTAAAAGAGCGTCGTTGTTTTGTAGGACAATATTAAGACGAGGGCCAGAGTTCCCTTTGCAGAGCGTTAGCACAGCGTACTGCTGATAACAGGTAGGAGACAAATCCTCTGCGCATTTTTTTTTCCGTTTTGAGCCGTGCGTGTTTTTTTTCCGAACTGCGACATTGCCTTGAGTATCTCTTCATGTGCGTTCGCCAACAGCCAGAAAACCCTGGCGTCAGAAACGGACATGTTAGCGAGAAAACCGAATAGCAGTCGTGTGAGGATGTTTACTGCTCGCTGGTCCGGTAATCGCGCACGTAAAAAAAAAAAATGATGTGATTCGGCTGGGACTGTAGTACTAACCGAGCTGGCTAAAAAAAAAAAAATCTTACGATATGTAGACGACTCATGTTTGTCGTGGGAGCGTTTTTTTTTTTAATCCCCGTAGGGCAGGAAAGGCAGTGTTTGGTGCCGTGAATTTGGGCCGATTTTCAGCTGCGCAGCGTGATGATGCGAAGAAGCTTCTAGCTTTTCCGAAAACGACCAGGAATGTGTAAAAGTGATACGCACTTCTCTGCTGCACCGTTTTCATAATGTTGCTTGTGGGAGAAGAGGCACGCCCACTCGCACTCCGCTGTCTTGTATGTGCACGGAGCATGTTTAATGTCTCCGGCCGCAGATCACGGATTCTCTGCCGGCCGTTTCTGTTGTCGATGCGTGTTATCATCGCTTGTTTTATGTGTTTTTATGTGATTTCTGTCCCCCCCCCCACGCGCTGCCAGCTAGTCTCCGCACGACTCGATGCGTTTTTCCACAGACCGTCCATAACCAGGATGTGGCGGTAGAGTTTTTAAAAGCCCCGTTTAAATGCAGGCGTGCACAGTACACGCTTGCAGGCGACAGGCGGCAGCAGTTCTGTGCTCAGGGAGGGAAAAAATGATCAAAGACGAGCAAGTCATGCTCGCACAGGGGCTGCACGGTCGCGGTATGGGCACCCAGCATCGGATTATTTCATTAAACCACCTTCATGACCACCCGCCAGTGCTATTATCATGTACTGTAAACGTTTTGAGAGTTTTTGTTTAAACTTTAAACCTGCTTCAGATACAGGGTGCAGGACTTGACATACATGCATATGAGGGTTAGTCCACATGTGGGGTGAATTTGTCAGTTGTCAACCGAACCAGTTTCCAAGGAGGGGGGGTGCCTTCCGCACTTCAGCATGTTTGCCCTGTAGACCCCCACCGCTTCGCAAAGGTTCTGGACACCCTAGTATGTAATAGTATGGTGGTTCTGGTGGATCTCTTGTGCTGGTCCCTGCTCTGCTGTCCGGACCGCAGAGAGCTGCTTCCTCTGGGCCAGACTGGAGGAATGGGCCGGGAACAGTGCCGCAGGTGGGGTGAGGAATCGGGCTGCTCTTCAAGCTCAGCTGGCGGTGGAGTGGTGGACAGGTGTCCTGTGTTGTCCAGGAGTTGTCAGACAGGCAAAAGCAGTCAGAGGTGGGGTGAGCTGTGCCAAACCCACTGGAGCCGGAGAGACAGGGGAGGTGACCACTGCCGTCCCTTCTCGTCCTCTTCTGGGTCCATCTTCTCGCTGCTTGATGGGATACAGGAGTGCGGGGAGCACGCAAATGGCACGGGGCAGGATACACCCCGGGGCGGGACGCCAGTGCGTCGGCAGAGCAGACCAGAAAGCGCGCGAGAAAACGGGATGTCCGAATGAGCTGGCGCAAGAAACGGATCGGGGTGCGGTGCAGACTTCCTGCCAGCGCCCCGCGGGGGTTCGATCCCTGCTTTCCCTTCGACGGCCCTGGCTTCCACATGCCTCCCTGCTGCTCCTGCGGTGACGCCCGAGTTTGCAACCACTGATGCCAATGATACATTGTGCAGTGAAGCCTTGCCAGTCACCCTCCACTTCCCTACCCGTATGATCTCCAGCTGCAGTGATAATAGCATTTTTGTTTTAGAGAATCAAACTTGGGATGCTTGAATTGAAAAAACAACGACAACAATAACGCGCTCACCCGCGCAGCACAGGCCTCTGGTGTGCTCCTGGGCCAGCTGGGCTGCGTGAGGCTGGCTCTGCAGTCTGTGGTGCTCTCTTGCAGGAGCGATGGAGGAGCCCGCGAGCCCCCAGCCCAGGAAGCCGCCCAGGGGCCTGGTGGAGTGGAGGAGGAGGGTCAAGTCCGAATACATGCGGCTCCGGCAGCTCAAGCGCTTCCG